GGGCCGACCTTTCTGTTTGTCTCTTTGCCCGTCCCCCTCCCTGGACATGCTCTTTCGCTTGTCTGTGTCTCTCTCTCCCTGTCCCTGTTTCTCATCTTTCCCTGATTCCTGCCCTCTCGTCTCTCTTGTCCCTCTGTCTGTCGTCCTCTTCTCTTGTCTCCACCCTCTCTCTACATCTTGTCCCCCCATCTCCCTGAGGCTGAGGGTCTCCTGGTGGCCCGAGGCCGTCAGAGTGCGGGTTATTTGGGACTTGACTGGAACCGGAAGAGTCGGCCCTGAGGCCAAGTCTTCGGCTGGGGCCTGCCCTCCAGAAAGCAGGATGGCAGAGGCCTGGCCCTTGGCCTCCCTGCTCCTCCCAGCCCTCCATGCCCACCACTCAAGCGCAGCCCCCTGCCCAGGCCAACAAGCGGTCACTGCTGTAACTCAGCTCAGATCCTCAACCTTTGCCAAGCCAGGGGCCGGCCTGGGAAACAGCCTCAGTGCTCCAGCCAGAGGACAGCTTGTGTCTTGAGCACACTCCCACCCCTGGCCTCAGTCTGCCCATCTGCAAAGTGGTACTGTCTAGGCCACCTGACCCCACAGGCCCCGCCAGGGTGATGGTCCATGCTGTGACTTTGGTGACCCTCAGGTGCCTTTGGAAAAGTCACTTCATCTCTCTAGGCCTAGTTTTTCCCTCAAAGGATGGGACAAATGGTCCCCAGCTCCCAGGGTTTGGGGGCTGGGGGGATCACTGGGACCACCCTTAGCACTGTGCCCGGCACGTACTCTGTGCTCAGTGAAGGCCACTCATTATTGTTTATGTATTTTTTGTCGATTAGAATTGAGACACCTGGTCTGCAGAAAGGTCCAGGCTCCAGAGGCCAAAGAGGGTGGACTTCAGAAGGAAAAATATTTAGATTTCAGGGACATTCTCCGTGGTGTGGGGAGAGGGCTGGGCCGTCTTTGGAATCAGGACGGCCCTGCGCATCAAGGCTGGCACATCCCATTTATGAGTCTGGGATCCAAGGCCAGCTCTGAGCCTCACAGTCCTTGTCTGGAAAATGGGATCACACAGTTTCTTCCCTTAAGGACTGAGACTTGAATGAGAGACTGCCTTGAGCACAAAAACTCAGATGACTACAGGGGCCTGGCCAGGGCTGCCACCAAGGAAAGCTACCCAGTGTGAGGCCACAGGGAAGGGGGAGGACCAGGGTGAAGCTGGAGCTCGTGCCCTACCGGATGGGCGCAGCCACTACTGCCGGGCCCAGGGTGGCCAGAGCCCTGTGTTCTCAAGGGAAGCAGGAAACTAGGAATTTTACATGATTTTAAAATTTAGCTCATTTTTTTAAAACTGAGCAAAACATGCGGAACGAGTCGGTTTGCAACCTGCGACGTGGGCCGTGCCCTGTACTCGGCCATGGGATAGGCTTCCGGGGTGTCAGCCATTGTGACTGGAACTGTTACTTGATCATGTTGCTGTCAGCTCTGCCCGCTTTCTGTCCTGCACGCTCACGGGCAGGATCCACCTGTCCTTTACTTCCCTCGGCCTCTCCTTGTCCTCCCAGCCCGCTCCCTCGGGGCTCTCCACTTCTGAGCCCCAGGCTGGCCACAAACAGGAACCGGAGAGGGGAGGCCCTGCGGGCTCCGACATGGTGATCCCCGGCCAGGGCTGCTGGGTCAGAGGAGCCCTCGCCTAAGAGCAAGGACGAGGAGCGCTAGGCCTGCTGCTGCTGCGGCGTGACCTCTCTTGGGGTCCTTGTCCCTTCTGGGCCTCAGTGTCCTTTTCTGTAAAGAAGGACCAAGGGCACATGGCTCTGGCATGTCCTGCTTCTGGGCCTTGGTCCTTTCACAGGGCAAGGGGAGGGCAGCTGTCCTGGTGCTGGTTCAGGATGGGTTGGGAGCAGTGTGCCGTCGTGTGACCTGAGCTTCCGTTTCCCTGCCAGGACAAATGGGGAGCCCTGTACTTCCCTCCCAAGGTGCGTCGGTAAGGGGCGCCTGGAGACAAAGCCTTGAAGTGATGCTTTAGGATCGTGGCTGGGAATTTGCTCATTCCACAAGCATTTATTGAGTACCAGCTGAGTGCCAGGGCCCTGGTGAGTGAGCCAGACACAGTTCTGGCCTCCTGAATTCACATTTGGGTAGAGGAGGATAAAAAGATACAGGCCAAAGTCCTGAGTGATGGGTCCCATGCTGGGGGAGCACAGGGGTCAGAGGAGGCATCATGGACGGCTTCCTGGAGGCAGAGGTTTCCAGATTGAGATCTGTGGGAGCCACGTCAGATCAGCCAGGGGTAGAGGGGGTGAAGGGAAGCCCTGCTCGAAGCACTGAAGAGAGGAGAAAGCAGTTGCAGGAGGAGCCCTCCTTACCTGCTCTGGCCCTGACTCCTTGGTTCGTCACTCACTGGGTCCCATTTGGTCCCATTGCTTATCAGGCACGGGCTCCTGACACAGATGTCGCCAGGGCAGTACAGGGGTGGCGGGAGAGAGCAGAGTGGGGTGAGAGCAGGGTCTTAGGAGCCAGACCCTCTGGCCACGGAATCCTGGTTCCTAGCAGACTAGCTGGGTGCCCTTGGGCTACTTGCTGGACCACTCTGACCCTCAGTTTTCTCATCTGAAAAGAGCATCACCTCGGCAGGTGCCTGACACATAGTAACTGCTCGATAGATGTTAAACACTAATGATAAAATTGTTATCATTAAAGGTCGTCTGTGCCTTTGGGAGCAGCTGCCTGGGGCATACCCAGGGGCCTAGTCACACGTTCTGTGTCACTCAAATGGTGTTTTTATATCCTTTTATTTTGTTAATTTTAATTTACAATTAAAAGAAAAAGGTTTGATATGATAGTGCATGCAAAAGGAGTAGTGAAAGGCCCGTCTCAACTATGTAGATTTTTAAAAAATTTTTTCTTGCATAAATGGTTGCTGTATGGAACTTTGCTTTCTGCCTGTACCTGTATATCATGGGCATCTCTCTGTGTCCACACATAGACGGCTGCCCAGGCTTTTTCCGGGCTGCAGAGATGCCTTGGACTGAGTTAATTTGGCCAATCCCCAGGTGATGGACACTCAGGTTATTCCCACATGAATAAGTTTGAGTTTTGACAGCTCAAGGCTGCGGTGAGTGAATCAGCTTGTCTGTGCACACATACCTGTTAAAAACATGTGGCTCTCTCAGCTTTGTTGCCTGGGAAAAAAATATGTGACAACATTTAAATAGGAGAGTTTCACTCAAAACCTCCTGATGTCTGGCTTCTCTTGAGATTTAGGCGCTCTGGCCTCCCTGGCCCACACTCCCACTTCGCACAGTCAGCCCGAGAGCAGCCACCCTTCTAGGAGCCCCGCTGCCCCCAGGGCCGTTTGTCCTGACACGTTACCTGGAGCCTGCTTGGTGGAGGTCAGGCAGGGTCTGAGCGTCGGGATTAACGGCCATTTATAGGTCTCTGCCTCCAAATAGTTACCTGCAAAAGGGGATTGGTTATGCCATGAAGAAAGAAGCTTCTTAAAGTTCCCTCAGGTGTCTCCAGTGAGAACCCAAATGGGCCTGGGAGACCAGAGTTCTGGTCCTGTCTGCTAAAGAACTGGTATATACAGGGCCACCCTCATGGGCATGTGACCCGTGCACAGGGGCCTGCTCTCCGAAGGGTCCCGCACTCGGTTTAATGCATCCAGCCTTGAGTGTATGACCTTGGGCAGGCCTTTCCCCTTCTCTGGATCTCAGCGATATGATCTGTGAAATGGGTAGGTTGTGGTTGGCCCTGTAGGTAGACTCGCTGAACACAGTTGAGAGCCCCATGGGGTCCCAGCTCTGCCTGGCTTTGGTCTCCCAGCCTCTGCCACCTGCCCACACTCACCTCTCGCCTCTGCTCCCTGCAGGCAAGCGCTTCCAGGAGTGGTGCTGTGTGGTCCTGTGCTTCAGCCTCATTGCCCACAACTCGGTCCACCTCCTGCTGCTGGCCCGCTGGGAGCACACGCCCCTCGTCATACTGGGCGTTGGTGAGTGCCTGAGGCTTCGCTGCCTGCCTCAGTTTCCCCAGGGGGGCAGGGACCTACCCAATGACTCACACGAGTGTGTGTGGTGGGGGGTGCTCTCCTGCGTATGGGTGCGTGCTGTGGGAGCCCCACCTCCCCGTCTCCGTCAGTGGCACCTCCCTGCGTCCTGTCACTTGGGCCCAAAACCTGGATATCATGCCCGGTTCCTCTCTTTTTCTCACCTTCCACATCCAAGCATCAGCAAATGCTGCTGGCTCTACTTAGAAAATGCGTGCAGGATCCAGCCACTACTCCCTGCCTCCACTGTCCCCGCCTGGGTCCAGCCACCAGCCTCTCCTGCTTGAGTGTTTCAGGGACCTGCTCCCTGGTCTGCCTGCCTCCACCTGTGCCCCCAGCATCCTGTCTCCACACATGGCCAGAGGGATCCTGTCAGATCACACTACGCCCCTGCTCTCAGCTGCCCACTTAGATGAAGCAGCCACTCCGCAGGCTTCCTGTCAGCCCTCGCTCCACTCTGCTCCTGCCACGCTGGCCTGGCTGTGCCCCACCACGCACTGATACACGCCTACCTCAGGGCCTTTGCATGAGCTCTTCACTGGGCCAGGAACTCTCTTCTCGCAGACACCTACACGGTTTACTCCCTCACCCAGGTCTCTGCTCAGGGAGGCCCTCCCTGATTGCCCCTCAAAAATAGCAGCCTTGGCCGGGCGCCGTGGCTCACACCTGTAATCCTAGCACTATGAGAGGCCGGGGCGGGAGGATCGCTTGAGTTCAGGAGTTCGAGACCAGCCTGAGCAAGAGCAAGACCCCGTATCTACTAAAAATAGAAAAATCAGCCGGGCGTTATAGCGTGCGCCTATAGTCCCGGCTACCTGGGAGGCTGAGGCAGGAGGATTGCTTGAGCCCAGGAGTTTGAGGTTGCTATGAGCTAGGCTGATGCCACGGCACTTTAGCCCAGGCAACAGAGTGAGACTCTGTCTCAAAAAAAAAAACAAACAGAAAACAGCAGCCTTGTCACACACTATCTCCCCCACCCCCGCCCCGACTGTTACACAATGTGTTTCTTTATCTGTTTATCGTCTGTCTCCCGCAACTCAAATGTCAGCTCCCTGAGGGCAGAGATTTTTATCTGTTTCATTCGCATAGCCAGTATTCAGTATTTACTGAGTCAGTGAATGGATGAATGAATAAACAAATAAGCAAACTACAGTGTATTACTGTCTCCTGGATGTTATCCATCAGTCAGTCCTTACCCATCCACAGCCTGGGAGGTAGATGCTAAGGTTGTCGTCATTTTCCAGATGAGGAAACTGAGGGTCAGAGAAGGGACCAGCTCAGAGTCACACCTCAAGCCAGAGGCACAACATAATTCTTAAGACAGTGTCTCCACCCCAGGCCCCAGACGACTCGGTTTCCTTCCTCTCCACCCACCACCGCTCCCCTCTTCCCTCTGACTTGGGCACTCATCCCCTCCCTGTCCTGGGCTCCCAGGCCGAGGGGGCAGCCATGCCCTTGGTCCCTCGTGGTGCTCCCTAAAGGTTCAGCTCCCACAATCTCATTACAAGCATTCTGGCTGCCTGAGCCAATAGTGCTCAGGCTGGCCAATGGAGCCATCTGGTCTGGTGGGGGTGGGCCAGCTGCAGGGGAGAGAGTTTAGCCTGTCCAGTGCGGGAAGCCCGGGCCTAGGCACGAGAGGGACCTGCACGGCCAGCCCCTCTGCCCTGGAGTACCACATTCAAGGGCAGGAATGTAGACAGTCTGAGCCTCAAAGCCTCGTCTGGGGATGGTTACGAGCAGGCCCCTAATCGATTTAAATAGCTGCCCTGATTTGGGTTCAAGTCCCGCTCCACCACCTGGCTCTGTGGCCTTGGGCAAGTGTCATTGCATCTCTGAGCCTCATTTTCCACGTGTGTAAAATGAGCCTGCTGGCAGTACCTGCCTCCTGGGGCTGTTGTGAGGGCAAAATGCAGGTGTGCACAGGTGCTGAGAAGGCCAGTGGCTGAGTGGAGGTGGGGAGAGGCGCTGCCCTCTAGACCACTGGCCAAGACTTGCACCTCAGCCTCACTGGTCATTTAACAGTGGATGTTTTGTTGGCCAGGCGCGGTGGCTCACGCCTGTAATCCTAGCTCTCTGGGAGGCCGAGGCAGGCGGATTGTTTGAGCTCAGGAGTTCGAGACCAGCCTGAGCAAGAGCGAGACCCCGTCTCTACTAAAAATAGAAAGAAATTAATCGGACAACTAAAAATATATGGAAAAAAAATTAGCCGGGCATGGTGGCGCATGCCTGTAGTCCCAGCTACTCGGGAGGCTGAGGCAGTAGGATCGCTTGAGCCCAGGAGTTTGAGGTTGCTGTGAGCTAGGCTGACGCCACGGCACTCTAGCCCGGGCAACACAGTGAGACTCTGTCTCAAAAAAAAAAAAAAATCCAGAGCTACCTGTCTCTCAGATCACATACTCCACCACCAGGGCAGTACAGCCTCCAGTTAACATCAGAAGGAGAGGGTGTTCTAGGCAGCAGTCCCAGCTTGGGCAAAGGATCGGCAAAATCAGAGCCCAGGTGTGTGCTCTGCAAGCTGGGAGGGTGGGCATCCCGGGTGGGTCACTACCTTCCTTCTCTGGTTGGGACCTGAGCTTCCAGCCATGGCCCAGTACATCTCAGGCTGCCAAGTCACCAAATGTGGTGCCAGCTCCCCCCCCCACACCTTTGCCCCTGGGCTGATAACAGCAGACGATCTCCTGATAGTGGTGTTTGCACAGTCTATAATTCATGTAGACAGTAGCTCTGGTTTTAGTGTTCATACGTAGGCAGTGAGGGCACCGTGCCATCCTGCAGAGCTTGCCCCCTACTCCTCACCGTCTTCCCAGAGGTTCCAGTGTCCTAGGCAAGCCCTGGAAATCAGGGAAGGCAGAAACACGAAAGGGTGTCAAGTTAATAAACACACACACACATGACTCACCCCTGAGAAGCAAAATCAAGATAAGGGAATAGGCAGGGAAGGCCTCTCTGGAAAGGTGACATTTGTGTGGAGACCGAAGGAGATTGCGCCAAGGGACCGTGGAGATATCTCGGGGAGGGATATTCCAGGCAGAGGAAACATCAAGTGCAAAGGCCCTGAGGCTGGTGTGTGCCCCGTGTGTTTGGGGAATAGAAAGGAGGTCAGCGTGGCTGGAGAAAATTGATCACAGTAAAAGGGGTTGGCGACAGCTGAGAGGCAGTGGGGGCAGATGTTGTAGGGCCTGAGGGCTGTGGGCCGGGTACGGGTTTTTTTTTTTTGAGACAGAGTCTCACTGTTTTGCCCGGGCTAGAGTGAGTGCCGTGGCGTCAGCCTAGCTCACAGCAACCTCACACTCCTGGGCTCAAGCTATCCTACTGCCTCAGCCTCCCGAGTAGCTGGGACTACAGGCATGCGCCACCATGCCCGGCTAATTTTTTCCATATATTTTTAGTTGTCCGATTAATTTCTTTCTAATTTTTTATAGAGGCGGAGTCTCGCTCTTGCTCAGGCTGGTCTCGAACTCCTGAGCTCAAACAATCCGCCCGCCTCGGCCTCCCAGAGAGCTGGGATCACAGGCGTGAGCCACCGCGCCCGGCCAGGGTACGGGGTTTTATTCTAGAGGCTGTGAGAAGCCATTGGTGAGTTTCCCACAGGGAGCTGACATCATCTGATGCTGCAGGGCAGGTGGCCGGGGGTGGAGAGGCCAGGAAGGAGGCGCCCACAGGGGTCCAGCTGCACCGGAGGCGGTGGCCCAGACCCGGGTGGGGCAGTGGGGGTGGTGGCGAGTTGTCCAAATCCGGATGAGCCGTGAAGGGTGAGCTGCCAGGATGTGCCCCCGGGTTGGCTGTGGAGGAGAGAGAGGGAAGAGTCAGTGCAACTCCTGGGTTTTTGGCCTGCGCGACGGGAGGGATGAGGCCGCCCGGACGGCTGGGGAGAGGGCAGCAGAGCTGGCCTGGGGAGAAGCCTGAGTGCCTGCTAGAGCACCAGCAGCGGGGCCAGCAGGAAGTCGAAGTCCAGGGGTCATCCGTTAGAGATGGCGCTTGAAGCCTGGAGGCTGGAGTGGCGCCCCAGGGGCTGTGCGCAGGGAGAGGCGAGGCGAGGTGGGGGCAGAGCCTCTCCCAGAGCCGGGGAGGGCTGCTGTGGCCAAGAGGAGAATGTGTTTCCGGGGGACCGGGACCAGCCACCGAGCAGACTAGCAAGACAAAGGAACTGCCGGACTTGGCCACCTGGAGGTCACTGGTGACCTTGACAAGGACCTTGTCCTGAATGAACGGGTGGACAGATGAGTGGCCATGGCCGCCCTGAGCTGTTCGTTCCACTCGGGCGACTGGAGGAAGAGTGAGGGGCTGCGATTGGTCCCGGAAGGAGCGTATCTTCTGGCAGCCTGCGGGGGGGAGGGTGTTCCGGGCAGAGGGCACAGCCAGTGCAGAGATCCGTGGCGAGGTCAGGGAAGTCATGCGGCCTCGGGTCACGGCCCGCCTGGTAGGCAGAAGCGGAGAGTCTGGATTTGGCAAGGATTTGGACCCAGGGCAGTCGGTGAGCAAAACATCTCCCGGACTCACCCGCAGCTGCGTTCGCTGCGTCTCCCAGCCGCGCTCTCCGTCTCCGCACCAGGCCTTTGAGGTGGGCAGGGGTGAAGAAGTTCCAGCTGGGTGACCTGTGGGGAACCGGACGCCCCAGGGGGCCCAGGGACTGCCTCAAGGTCACCGGTGAGTCAGGGTAGCCTGGAGTGAGTCACCCCCAGCCCCTTCCTCAGCCCAGCGCTGCGCTGGGAAGGGCGGTAACCAGGCCGAAGCTGCCCCCAGGGAGAGCCAGCTGCCAGCCACCCCCAGAGCTGGGACAAAGAGGCTTCTGTGTGCCTGTCTGCCACCCCTGCCCCCATTAAAGGGGCCTCAGCCACCGGCAGAGGCCTAGGGATCACGGAGCCAGGGGCGGGCTCCTCCCCCAAAATGCTCCCTGACATCTGTCCAAAGCACACATCCCTCCCGGCTCGCTCGGCAGCCTGCGAAGGCCAGGTGCTGGTCATTTGACAGATGGCAAGACTGAGGCTCAGAGCCTTAGATGACTGAGGTCGGCTGCGGGTGGGGCGTCACTGAGCCCCGGGGTGGGGGCTGCTAAACACTTCACCTGCAGCAGCACATTTTATTCACTCCTCCCAGTTAAGGGAGGTAAGTACTACTAATGTCCCCCTCCCCAGACCTGGCCGTGAAGGCTCAGCCACCTAAGGTCACATCTGCCTGACTGGCCCTCGCAATGGTCTCTGGCTACTCACCAGCAGTCCTGATTGGCACCGGCCTCCGTGTGACCCCGGGCAGGCCTGACCCTCCTCTGAAAAGTCAGGATGGGCTGGGGCCTGTCACTGTGGCATGAAGTGAGATAACGCACTTTATAAAGGTAGGCGTTATGTTTTTAGAACAGTTTTAAATTTACAGAAAAATTGAGCGGATAGGACAGAGAGTTCCCATATACCCCCTGCACCCAGCTTCCTCTTTCATTATCATCTTACGTCTCTCCTTAGTTTGGTACATTTTGTTACAAGGTTCGCGCCGATGTGGATACATCAGTATGAACTAAAGTCCAGAGCTGATTCCGATTTCCTCAGTTTTTACCTAATGTCCTTCCGGGATGTCTCGTTACCCTTAGGTGTCCTGTCTCTTTAGCACCTCTTGTCTGTGACAGTTTCTCAGACTCTCCTTGTTTGCGATGACCTTGACAGTTCGAGCGAGAAATACTGGTCAGGTGTTTCGTGGGCTGCCCCTCTATTAGGATTCTTCTGACGCTTTTCCTATGAGTGGACTGGCTTTACGGGCTTTGAGGAGGAAGAGCTCAGGAGTGCAGTGCCATTGGCATCCCATCGTAGCGGAAGTACACCCTGTCACCATGACTGGGCGCTGTGCTCTTGACTTTGATCACCTGGCTGAGCTAGCACACGTCAGGTTTCTCACCATAAAGTGACTCCTCCCCCTCCCCTGTGTTCTGTCTTTGGAAGGAAGTCAGTGTACACAGTCCACACTTAGGAACAGGACAGAATGTGCTTTTAACACTCCCGATGAAGCACTAGGTACACAGTGTTAGCCATATCATTTCCAATCCAGTATTGTTTTTATTATCATCATCCTTCCCGTTATCCGTGAGGATTATGTGTTTAGGATGATTAAGGAGATAAGATGTGGTGCAGGCCTGGTCTTGCTACAGTTTAGGCAAGGGATTAAAGGAGATAAAACATTTAAGATGCCGGCACAGGGCCTGGTACCTGTAAATACTCGATAAATATCAGGTTAAAAAAAAAGTAGCTGACATCTTTACCCAAAGGAAATGAGGAGAAATGACTACGACAGGCTCGTACATGGATGTTCACTGCAGCTTCATTCAGAACAGCCCCAAACGGGAAACAACCCCAACGTCCAACAGCCAGATGGAGAAACGCATCACGGTACATCCCAGCGACGGAATACTACTCAGCGTTCAAAAGGATGAACTGATACACACGACTTCATGGATGACTCCAGAAGCATTCCACTAGCAAAGGAAGCCAGACCCCAAAGAGCACATACCATATGAATCCATTTATTTGAAGTTCTAGAATAGGCAAAACCAATTTATGCTGATGGCAAGCAGGTCTGTTGGTGCATGGAACAGGGGAGGGGAGTGAGAAAGGGGCACAGGGGAGCCTGCTGGGGAGCTAGAAATATTCCACATCAGGCATTAGCCCGCTAGGGCCTGAGAACCAAAAATACTTATGAGCAAAGTATTATGGGAATGCTGCCACTCCCATTTGTTGGTTTTTTGTTTTTGTTTTTTTTTAGAGACAGGGTCTTACTACATTGCCCAGGGTGCTGGAGTGCAGAGTGCAGCGGCATGATAATAGCTCACTGCAGCCTTGAACTCCTGGGTTCAAGGGATCCTCCCTCCTCAGTCTCCCAAATAACTAGGACTATAGGCACACACCACCACGCTTGGCTAATTTTTTAAATTTTTTTTAGAGGTGGGGTCTCACTATGTTGCCCAGGCTGGTCTTGAACTCTTGGCCACAAGCGATCCTCTTGCCTCGGCCTCCCTTAGTGCTGGGATTACAGGCCTGAGCCACCACTCCTGTCCCCCATTTGTTGTTGATACCTGCTTTCATACTACGACAGCAGAGTTGAGTAGTTACGGCAGAGACCGCATGACCTGCAAAACCCAAAATATTTACTGTCTGGCTGTTTTGTTTTGTTTTGTTTTGTTTTTTTGAGACAGAGTCTCACTGTGTTGCCCGGGCTAGAGTGCCGTGGTGTCATTCTAGCTCACAGCAATCTCAAACTCCTGGGCTCAAGCGATCCTCCTGCCTCAGCCTCCCGAGTAGCTGGGACTATAGGCATGTGCCACCATGCCCGGCTAATTTTTTCTATATATTTTAGTTGTCCAATTAATTTCTTTCTAATGTTAGTAGAGACGGGGTCTCACTCTTGCTCAGGCTGGTCTCGAACTCCTGAGCTCAAACAATGCGCCCGCCTCGGCCTCCCAGAGAGCTAGGATTACAGGCGTGAGCCACCGCGCCTGGCCTACTGTCTGGCTCTTTAAAGAATTTTGTCAACCCCTTATATTCTATATAGGTGTAGAATCTCTGTCTTGACCTGAGAGATGGTCAGACAGGTGTGTCCCTGTGTAAAAAGGCCGTGAGCTGCACAAGGCCTGTGCCCTTTTCTGTGTGCAGGTTACACTCACTTATAAAACAAGCCAAGGTTTGGGGAGGAGAAGGGGCTTGCCCCGTTCTCACCAGGAGCCCAGAACTCGGGGAACAAGGAACCTAGACTGTGAATCCCTACAAGAGCACACGCCTTGGCATCCAGTCCCCTCTCATCCGTACCTGTCTCCCACATAAAGGCAGCACTGGGAGGTGTCATTAGAGTTATTGGGACAAGGCCGCTGCAGATACCTCAGCTGACTTCATTGTACGAGTGAAGATGCTGAGGTTCAGAGGTGGCAAGGGGCTTGCCCAGGGTCACACAGCAATATGGTGGCGAGAGATGAGGCCCCCAATGCTTGATCTAGCTCTGCCATAGCTCTTGGCCACTCAGCCTCGTCTCTCCTGGTAGACAGAGGCAGTGCGTACACAGCATGCCACGGTATGTGGCCGGAGCGCTAATGCCCTGGACCTACTGCAGTGCGGTTTAAGGGCATGAGAGGTGCTGGTTGGGGCAGCAGGTGGGCAGGCCTCTTCCCATCCCACAGCTGCCACTTCAAAGCCACATGACTAGGGGATGGTGGTTAGACTTCTCTGAGCCTCTTATCCAAGAAGTGGGGACAATAAATGAGGCCATCTTAGGTGGTGACAGGTACCATGAAAGAAATAAAGCAGGGCGATGTGACCAAGAGAGCCTCGCTGGGAGGATGGCTTTAGCCAGGGCGTTTGGGTGACCTGTGCTCTGAGTGAGAAGGCTGAGATGGAGCCAGCTTGGGGGTCTGTAGGGCAGGGGTGCGGAGCTGGGTAGAGGAGCTGTGAGTGCAGAAGGTTCTGCCTCCCTCGGCTTCTGCCCCCCCAGCCCCACCCTCAGCCTGGGTCCACCCTTTGCATCCTCACGGGGGCAGGGCTGCCCAGCCAGCCACCATGCAGTGACAACCTTTAGCCTGTCCTTTGGCTTCCACGTGTCAGGAGATACAGCTGCTACATGTCCCCATCTGCTCTCCCGCCCTTACTGCCAGGAACTCGCAGGTGCCCGCATGAAGCTGTGTCATCCTCGTCACGCCGCCCATGCGTGTGGTAGACGGTCCGGGGCCTCTGGAAAGTCTGCATTCAACGGCTGCCCCCTCACCTGGGCGTGGCCAGCAGAACTGCTCGTCCACAGTGACCCACATGCTCACTCTTTTCTCCTCAATCTAAAGTCCTGCTCTCCAGGGAGGTGTCCAGGGGCTTTTCTGCAGCCTCCACAGTGCCCCAAGGTGCTGGTCCCCTGTCACCAAGGGGCTGAGGGCCCCAGCAGAACTCAGAACCTGGGCCTTGGACAACCAGTTCAACAGAGAAACTGGGGAGGGGCAGGGAAGGGGTTTGCCTGAAGCCACACAAGACGGGCCAGGGGGCTGCATGTGTCATCACTCACACTGCCCTCATCCCCCGCCGGGTGTTACAGCACGCGCCCCCACCCCCACCGACACCCTTCCCGGTAGATGAGAGCTCGGTGTCTGGCCCTGGAGCTTGGCACGCAGTAGGTCCTCACAGAACGCTGCCTGGTTGATGAAGAGACTGAATAACAATAGTAACGTGGGGGGGGCGCTTCCTACGTGCCAGGCACTTGGTGCTTTACTGAGTTCCCGTTACGCACCGGGAACCAGGGTTCAGACATCAGCGAAAGACACTGAAGCTCCGGCCCCTGCGGAGCTGACATCCTTGTGGTGGGAGACGACAAACCAGCCGAAGAGAAGTCAAAGGCGCTGAGTGCTTGGAGAAGAATAAAGACAGGAGATAGGAAATGCTGGAAGATAAGGCGGTTACAATTTTAGATCAGGTGTCCAGGGAGGACATTTGTGTAAAGACCTAAAGGAGGAAAGAGAGTGAGCTGTGTTGAATCTTGAGAAAGAATGTTCCGGGCAAAGGGAACAGCAAATGCAAAGACCCAGAGGCACGGAAGGGTTTGCCAGGGAAAGGGAATGAGCCAGTAGTGCTGGGCTGCAGCGACTGACACAGGCAGCACTGGGGCGGTTCCTTGGGCAGATTGCTGGCCACTCAGCCTCAGTTTCCCTATGTATACAATGGTGGTGGTACATCCTGCTGTTAAGAGGTATATCCTATGCCACTTGTCATGTGTGTAACCTCAGCCCAGTCACTTCTGCTCTCCAAGCCTCGGTTTCCACCTCTACAAAGTGGGAATAAAAATGCTACCAACTTCTAACAGACGGTGAGAATGCACTGAGATCTAGCATGTAAAGCACTCGTGCCTGGCTTTGAAAAAATGCTCAATGAATGGTGGCCACTATGTTTTTGTTAGTCATCATCATTCCTGTCTTATAAGAGGAAACTGGGGCACGGAGAGGTTAGTTAACATGTGCAAAGTCACGCAGCTAGTGAGTGACAGCGCTGGAATTTGAGTCCAGATCTACAGCTCTTAACCCCTGTGTTACACTGAACCCTCAAGTAAGTGAACAGTGCTGGGAGTCTCTGAGGGGACCCCACTCCAGTTTGGAAAAGATTAATAGCAAAGACAAGGAAAAGGCTGCTAGGGACCGAATTATCAGGTTTATTGCTGATAAAAGCTAGGATGGGGGTGTGGCTTCTATCTGCAGGTAAGGTGCTTCCTAACACCAAGCCCAAAAGGACGCTGCTGCGGTCACAAGCAGCACTGGCACAGAGCAGGCTTCCCCATGTGGGGCCAGTCTGCAAAGCAGAAAGAAGGGGACAGCCAGCCCCTAACAAGGAAAGGTTGGGCTGATCTAAGCATGCCCAGTTTGCGCTCTCCAGACTCCCCAAGCAGATGAGTCCCAGCATCCCCCCCTCACCTCCCACCCCCGGGCCAGAGGAAGTAAGGGGCAGATGGGGCAGGCGTATTATCCCTGAGGCTCCATCCTTAGGGAAGCAAACATCCCAAGTAGAAATGTTTTGTCCCCTAACGAATGAGTGACTCCCTGGTCGGAGGGGAGCAGGGATGTCCTTCCGCATGTCCCCCTACTCCAGCTGACCCTCTTGTTGTCCACAGTTGCAGGAGCTCTCATTGCCGACTTCTTGTCTGGCGTGGTGCACTGGGGTGCCGACACATGGGGCTCCGTGGAGCTGCCTGTCGTGGGGAAGGTGCGTATGTTGACCCAGCCTGACTCCTCCAGAAGGAGGTTGGGCTGCATGACTGTAGGTGAGTCCCCTTTCCCCTCTATGCCTCAGTTTCCTCATTATTCCAGCCTGTCCCTCATACCTGCCCTGCAAGACTAGAACAGGAATCCCTTGGGGTTTTGTGGAAGCGAAAGTATCAGGCTTGGGATGGTCAGAGAGCTCGATGTGTGCCTGCCTCACCAGAACTCACTGAATTTGGGGGCCATATCTTGTTTTTCCATTGCCGCCTCTGCTGCACCTCACTGTTTGTTTTAATTGGATTTTATCTTGTATTAGTTGGACTTTTTTGGTTGTGACAGAAAATCTATTCTAAACTGGCTTAGAATAGCAAATAAGGGTACTGATTCATGTAACTGAAAATTCAGAGAGTTGGAGCCAAATTAAGGCATGGCTGGGTCCAGTGGGACAGACAGACCATATTCTTCAGACTCAGTCTCCCTCCATCTCTGTCTCTGCCTCGGCTTTCCCTCTCTGAGGTGGCCAGGGTGGCTCCTGGCTGCCTAGATATCCATCCTCCCAGTTCCCAGAAAAAGAAAACTTCTCCTTTCCCTCCTCCCAGGAGAAGAGAATTTCTCCTTTCCCATAGTTACAGCCAAAGTCCCATGGCTCACTCCCATTGGCCCAACTTGTATCACATGCCCATCCCTCAGCCAGTCGTGGCCAGAGAGATGGAAGGCTCTGTTTGGCCCAGCCTGGGTCACATGCTTTCTTGGCCAGGGGGCAGAATCAGTACTATCAGAACAGCTTGTGCTAAGAGAAGGAGAGGAGACTGTTATCAGAAGGAGGGGCTTAGGTGCTGGGGAGACAGAGGGTCCCACCTCTTACCTCAAGGGGCCTCCTCAATTGCCTTAGGGTGGGGAAGAAGGGTAGAGGTTGTCCCCAAGCTCCCTTACGGCACAGGTGGGGAGACTGAGGCCCAGAGAGGGGCAGTACCAGCCCAAGGTCCCTGCCACAGCCATTTCAACTCATCTTCCACTATAGCTGCTAGACCTGGACCCTGAAGGCCGGGTGGGGTCTGTGTCAGTGGCTGGTGGGAATATCGGGGCGTCCCAAGTGGAGTGAACCGTAGGGGCAAAGCTGGGAGGGGAGCCCAAGACAAGTGTATTCAGG